CCCCTCCTTGGGTTTCCAAGGCAGTATCACTACGGAAGTAGATTGCCCAACCTTCCTTCCGAGGAGTGGCTGGTGGGTTTGAACCACCAGCCTTCCGGTTAGCAGTCAACTGCCTTAGGCACTACACCACCAGAGCTCCTCCTTTAGGGCTGTACAGTATCCATAATTAACATCATCAATGGCTAAATAATATTCTTCTGAATATGATATACTAATTCATTTAATATTTTTCTAGTATTAGACATTTACTTGTAAATATTTGTCATATTCTTTTTACATGAAGTTTTTCTTCCTTTCAAAGTTTTTTATTCTGGTTTGGATGAAAGTTTATAGAGCAAATTGGTTTTCCTTTCAACAATTCATACATAGGTTGTTTCATGACATTGATTATTATCCCCACAATTTAATAGCACTCTTCTCATTTACTCCCTGTGTTTACCATTTCACTTCGTCCTTCTTTTCCTATCATTCCTGCCTTCTGGGCTTTGTCCCTGGGAAATGCCTCCCAGTTGATCTGATGTGACTGATTGTTCTAATGTGCTCACTCCAGTGGTGGTGTTCACCTTATAGGCCTGTCTATCCTTTGGCTGAAAGTTGAGCTGTGGAAGTGAGTTCAGTTTAGCATTGAGGGATGTCTTAGGACAGTAGTCTCAGGGTTCCACAGTCTCTATCAGACCAATAAGTCTGGTCTTTTTTGTATGATTTTGAGTTTTGTTCCACATTTTTCTCCCACTAATCTGAATTCTCATTTAGCTTGATTTTGGAATAAAAACATTGATGTTTTTATATCTGACTTGCATATGTATTACCAACTAATGTTAAATAATTTTGCTGATTTACAATGATTTCAGAAATATATCAATTTTAGGTTATTTTTTATTGTTTTTGGATTCATGTTTTAGGCACATTTAACCATATTACTTAAACATATAAAGAAAGATATTAATAGCATATTTAAGTCCCCAAAGGTTTTAATTAAAGAGACATAGAAACATTTTTGAGTTAATAATATTTCTATCATTTTAGAGAAAAGTACTATCACAAATGAGAAAAATTCCAAATAGAAAGTTTGTAGTAATCTATTCATTCTTAATAAATAGAGAAGAAAATAGTTTCCATTCTCTCGTACATCTGACATACCCTTGAAAGATCAAAAATGGCTTCAAGTGACTTTTTATAAAAAGAAATAGCAAAAGGCAAAACAAAAACCCATAACAGTTATTTACTATTGCTTATTCAGTAGAATTTATTCAGTGTGGTTGACTTATCCTTGTTTTAATTCACTTTTCTTTGACACTAATGAAATTGAACATATTCCATTGTCTTGTTTACTATTTGTACTTCCTCAGGTTTGAATTGCATTTTGGCTGTTAACTTATTGGCATAAAATTGTTTACTCTTCCCAACAATTATAGAGAATAACTATTCTTTGCAAACTTTTCTTAATGTGTTTTAATTCTTTCTAATATTAAGTTATTTTTTATACATATGGATTTTGATGTGTTGTTAAATCTAATCATTTTTTCCTTTCATGTTTATTATTTCAATCCTTTAAAAGTTGCCTTCTTTCATAGTATTGATAAATATTCTTTTGGATGTTTCCCCTGGTAATTTTTCTAATATTTTCATTTTTATTCTCAATTATAGTATCCATTTGTAATTACATTGGTATATGTTTAGTATTGGGTTTCAATTAATTAAATTTCTCTCTCCCATAGTTATCTCAATAACAGTTTTATTGAATAGTACTTTTTTTCATTCTTGTTTATATTGCTTTTTACTTAGTAAGTTCTTATATATCTTTAGATGTATTGCTTTTAATACCATATTGTGATGTCTGGTGAGATTAGCTGACTTGCTCTTCTATTTCAGAATTCTTTTATAGTTTCATTATTAATTTTCAAAATTAATTTCAGAAGTTTTTTTTCCCTGTCATTTTCCAATTCATGTTATATCACATGCAACAGGCCAGCTCCTTTTATGAACTTTTATACTTCAGCATTTCTGCTGCCAGAGAATCCTTATTCCCAAAAGCAGAGTCTTTTGGTTTTTATTTTCCTCCCCTTTTTTCAGAGAGCAGATGTTGCTGTGTCTTTGTGACAAATTACCCTCCTCCCCAAAAGTAATGGTTAATTAAAGTATTGACACCCTCCCACATTCCACCTGCCACCTCACTACTGAAAAGGAACAGAGGTTTATAAATTGAAATCTAACTGTGATGTTTCCAATATTTTTAATACTTAAGACAAAAGAGCTTTTCCTATTACAAATATATATATATATTTTACACATTCTGTTATATATAGAATATATATACAGAATTTTATACATTCTGTTTTATATATATATATATAAAACAGAATGTATAAAATGAAGAAAACACAGAGATACCCATGTCAGTCTGAATTTAAATTATAATATGTTAAGGAGAAGCAGTGGCAAAGGAGAAAGCATGAGGATAGATCAGGGAATATAAATCTAGGATTTCCTTTCAAAACTGTAGGCACTTAGAACACCATTTCTTTTAAGGACAACAGGATAGTGAAAATATAGAATTCAAAGAATCCACATCCCAGGAATACAGACAATATATAGTTCCTAGTATGGAAGCAGCAGTCAAGACATCAGACGAAGTATTGTACTAAGCAAATCTGCTGCAAAAGACCTCTTTAAAGTGCTGAAGAGCAAAGATGTCTCTCTGAAGACTGTTGTTGTTGCCGTCAAGTCATCTCCAACTCATAGCTACCCTTCCTTGGATTTCCAAGGCAGTATCACTAAAAAAGTAGATTGCCCAACCTTCCTTCCGAGGAGTGGCTGATGGGTTTGACCTGCCAACCTTCTGGTTAGCAGTCAAGTGCCTTAGGCACTATGCCACCGGACTAAGGTGCTCCTAACCCAAGCCATGGTATTTTCGATCTCCTCATATGCATGTGAGAGCTGGATAGTGAATAAGGAAAACCAAATAAGAGTTGATGCTTTTGAGTTGTGTTGTTGGTGAAGAATACTGAAAGTACCATGGACTGCCAAAAGAACTAACAAATCTGTCCTGGAGGAAGTGCAGCCAGAATGCTCCTTGGAAGTGAAAATGGCCAGATTTCATCTCACCTCCTTTGGTCATTTTGTCAGAAGCAACCATTCCTTGGAGAAGGATATCACACTTGGTAAAGTGGAGGGTCAAGGAAAAAGGGGAAGGCCCTCAAGGAGATGGATTGACACAGTGGCTGCAGTGATGGGCTCGGGTACAGCAAGGATTGTGAGGCTGGCACAGGACCGAGCAGTGTTTCGTTCTGTTGTACAGAGGGTCGCTATGAGTCAGACCTTACTTAACAGCACCTAACAACAGCAAGTAGATTGTCCTAAAAGATAATGACCAAATCTGTAAAGCATGCTGCTACCAAGATTACACAAAACTAAGCCAGAAAAATAAGCACTATTGACTAAGTCTTGCTCTCTCATGCATTCACTGATTCATCTAACTAATATTAATTATGCTAACTACTCAGATATCTGTTTCTAATTTACATATCTATCCTGTCTCTTTTAATATTCTCATGTATATTTCACCATTTTATATTCCTAAAATATTTATGAACAGGTGAGAACAAATCAAAATGTAAGACATTCTCATGATACCAATCCAAGAATGAACACTAACATATAATTAATCCAAAATGTTTGTAGTACACTATTTCTACTGACTCTTTTTAGTAACAGGGAAATAAAAATTCCATTTTTTAAATAAATGACTCTTCTCTGACCTTTTGGCTATGAAAAGAATACATAGAAATGGTAAAAGTCAGTATAATAATTCAACTAAGACTATTTTTCTGTATCTGAAAGAAAATTCCAATATCCAGCATAAATTATTAGAACATACCTGTGTCTCAAGTTACCACCTGTTATGGATTGAATTATGTCCCCCAAAATGTGTTGTAAATCCTAACTCCTATACTGTGTTTAAGGAGTTCTGGTGGCATAGTGCCTAAAGCATTTGACTGCTAACCACAAGACTTGTGGTTCAAACCCACCAGACAATCTACAGAAGGAAAATTTGGCAATCTACTTCCATAAAGATTTACCACCTCAGAAACCCAATGGGGGTTGCTATGAGACAGAATCTACTTGATGGCAGTGACTTTGGTTTTATACCTGTGTTTAAGGAGCTCTAGTGGCTCAGTGCCTAAGGTATTTGATTGCTAATCAGAAGGCTGGTGGCCACTCTGCGTGAGGAAGATGGGCAATCTACTTCCATAAAGATTTACCACCTTGGAAACCCAGTGTGGGTCATTAAGAGTCAGAATTAACTTGGTGACAGTGGATTATACCTGTGGATATAATCCCATTTGGGAATGGTTTTCCTTTGTTATATTAAGAGGCCATATCAGTGTAGGGTATGTTTTAAACCAGTTACCTTTGAGATAGAAAAAGAGCAGATTAGGAAAGAGAAGCAAGCAGCAATGGGGAGAAATAGATGCCACATGAACTGAAGCTCACCAGGAAACCAAGAACAAGAACCTTCCCCAGGGCCAAAAGAACTCATTCCAGAGCCTTCACCTAGAGCCAGTACCCCGAATTTAGACTTTGAGACTCGTAAAGTGTGGGGAAATAAAATTGTTTCTTAGTCATCGACTTCTGGTTCTCTTGTAGTAGCTGTGGATAACTAAGACACCACTCAATTTTAATATGTTGGGGTTTTTCACTAGCTGCTTTCCAGTTGGGTCTTATGGAAGCAGAAATCAGTGACTTGCTGCGGGGAATACATCGAGTTCAAACTCCCCAACCAGGAACAAATGAGGAAAATACGCATGTTGAAGAAGATGGGTGTATAAAACAGAAGGAAGTTGGCTCAGAGGATATCTGCTCTATTTGTCAAGAAGTGCTTTTAGAGAAAAAGCTTCCCATCACCTATTGCAGGTGATGTATTTTTTTACTTATTTTAAAAAATTATAGGTAATATGTTTGCAGTTGATTATGTTATGGGACATGTTAGTAGAGAAACAATAGAAAGCTTTATCTGCAGCAGATCTATATTTAATTGGCACTTTTTTATCTCCTAACATAAATGTTGTGAGAGATCCTATAGTTACTCTAAATATTTATAGGCTGCATTTTAAAGAATGAGAATTAGAATGTAACTCCATGTGTTTTATACACATGAATAAATGCTACGGCTTATCATATTTACAAGTTTCCTGAAAGTAAAGACATTACTTCCAATGGTAAAATTCTTTGCAGTTTTTCACAATTCTAAATTTAAACCTAAATAGTTCGGAAGGAAAGTTGGGCAGTCTACTTCCGTAGTGATACCACCTCAGAATCCCAAAGAGGGGTCGTTATGAGTTGGGTCCGGCTCAGCGGCATATAACAACAAAAACGAGTTAATTAAAAATTTTATTTATGTACAAATGTTTTTTGAAGATCTCCTACTCTAGGCACTCTGAAGTTGGACTTAAAAAAACTGGGTAACCATTTGCTATTGAAACTTTTCAGTCTTTGTTCTTCCTGATTATTTGCCAGAATTTTCATCTGCATTGTAGTTTTCCATGTGACTTCGTCCATTACATACTTTCAAATTATTATCTAATCCCAATATATTATTTCTTTCCATGAACATTTATTTGGCACTACCACATATCTTGTGATTTCTGAAAAAGAAGGTGGTGCCCCTGCCCTCAGTGAAACATTTTATTTTAAAAAATAATAATAATAAATGCTTATTGTTATAATTTTCCTTTATGTCAAAACTATATTCATTTTCACTTTACAAATGAAAAATAATTTGATGATGTAAACTCTTTTGCTATGTCATTGCAATGCAAGGGAATTTATGTTGGAATTCTGATGGCTAAATTAAAGATGATTAGATATATACATAAGGAAGTAGGTTGTTGTTGTTGTTCTTATGTGCCATCGAGTCGGACCCGACTCCTAGCAACCCTTCCTTGGATTTCCGAGGCAGGATCACTACTGAAGTAGATTTCCCAACCTTCCTTCTGAGGAGTGGCTGGTGTGTTTGAACCACCAGCCTTCTGGTTAACACTCAAGTGCTTTAGGCACTAAGTAGGTATGTAGGTAGATAGAATGTGTATGTATAATCAAGCTATATCTGAAAAATCAGTTCAAACTCTATTTCTATGGAAAATAATTATGATAGCACAGAAAGTAATACACACATACCATTTGGAGACAAATGGTAAACTTGAATTTCATTTCTGACAGGTATGGCTGTGGCAATAATATTCATATAAAATGCATGAAGATCTTAGCTAATTATCAGGATATGACACCAAACACTTCCATGTTGAAATGTCCTCTGTGCAGGAAAGATTTTGCACCATTAAAACTTATTTTAGAGGAATTCAAAAACTCAAGCAAACTTGAGAGTGTAGCAGAGAAAGAGCGACTGGATAAACACCTTGGAATTCCCTGTAATAACTGTAAACAATTTCCAATTGAAGGAAAGTGTTACAAGTAAGTGTTACCAGTAAATTCTAAGTATGTATTTCAACATTTAAAAAAAAAAAAACTTTAAGAAACTTTAAGCATGTCTTCCTTTAGCATGTCCTCTTGCTCACGGGTATAATGTGTTTGCTTAAAGGTTGTCTGCTTATTTAAGATTACCAGATTGGTATTCAGCCTTAGCCCAGTACCTCAGAATTCCAAGTATCCTTTTTCTTCACTTTCTCAAGGAAATTTTGTTGTGCACTCTGGTCTAGTTGAGACTTGAGGTAGCATCCCATCATAGAAGCTCTGGACACAAGCAGTATTGCTTTGGTCTATATGATTTTCTAAGTTCAGAGCGCAGCTGGGCCTCTGACTCACCCCGAACAGTCTTTCAACCAATAATGTCATTATGGAGGCAAAAACTCCTTGGATTGAGCCAGACTTACTGACTAGACAGGCTGAACGTTTAATCAAGCTCTGTACTCTAAATTGCAATGAGTGTGGGTTTTGTTCGCTTGAATATTTAGTACCTCAAAAACAACAAGATGATAATTATTAGAGAAAAAAAACTTTTCATTACTTTTGTAAGCAATCCTCAAACTTTCCCACAATTTCCATAATAAAATATCAACTAATTTAACAATTACAATTTAGGTTACTAGTATGTTATAAATAAATAAATATTTTATTTCACTTTTTATTAAAAAATCATTGTAAAAGACATTAGCTTTCGATTTAAGTTGCATTTTTTAAAAATTCTCTCTTAAAACCATAAAGCTTATCACCCCCAATAGCAAATGATATCTTTCTTCCTTGAGTTGTTTTAGTCTTTTACTTTATATGCACCATAGAAATTTTAGCCTTTTATGTGTACCATAGAAGACGATCAACCTGAGCACCATTAGCAAGTCTTTATTGGAAAATGGCTGACTAGAGGTGGCTCCAAAGAAGCATTCTAACTTGAAGAAGAAGAAGACAGTTTTTGCAGTGGTTCGGTGTTCAGCTGCTAACCAAAAGATTGACAATTCAAACCCAACCAGCTGCTTTGCTCTGGGAGAGAAAGACGTGACCGTATGCTTCCATAAAGGTTACAGGCTTGGAAACCCTATGAGGCAGTTCTACTCTGTCCTATAGGCTCACTTTGCAGAATCGACTCAGCACCAATGGCTTTGGTTTGGGCTTTTTTTTTTCTTTTTTCTTTTTTCTTTTTTTTTTTTAAGCAGGCTTGTTTCAGTATAGATTGGTTAAAAGGGGCTAGGAAAAGGAGGCATTGATTTTGGGGGATTAACAGCCATTGTTTGGGCAGTCTGGATGTTATTAGGAGGGATGAATAGGCATACATAGAACGGAATACCATTCAGCCAGTCGGAGAAACTAATTGTGATACAGGCTACAGTATGGATGGAGCTGGAAGGCATTATCCTGAATGAACTAAGTCAATCACAAAAGGATAAATATTGTGTGAACACTCTTAATGTAAAAAGAACACTCTTATGTAAAAGGCAAACACATAGAGGACAGTTTATTAGTGGGGAGGTTAACAGTGATGGAAGTATTGCATAGATTAAGGGTAGGATTGCACAGCCAATTATTGCAATTGCTGTCTATAAGTTACTGTTGTTGTTGTTACGTGCCATCGAGTCGGCCCCGACTCATAGCAACCCCTCCTTGGGTTTCTGAGGTGGTATCACTACAGAAGTAGATTGCCCAACCTTCCTTCAGAGGAGTGGCTGGTGGGTTATACACCTATAAAAATTTGAATTGGCAAAAGTTGTATTTACAACAATGACAAAAAATAAATAAATAATAGCAGCAGAGGCTGCTTATGTACAACTAAAAACCTCATGGGATTTGGTTTCTTGGTTCAGAGGTTTATGGTCATAGGTTCATGGGACATTTCAGTTAATTGGCCTAATTATATGATTAGTGCTTCTGCTCTGCTTCCCAGTTCATTGCATAGTGTCTAGGGTCTTAAAAGTTTGCAAGGAGCCATCCAGGGCTCAGAAATTGTTCTCTATTTGCCTGGAGCAACAGAATAAGGAAGAGAGTCAGGAGTAAAAGGAGGATATGGAATGTGTTGTTAATTGCCTCCACGGACAACTGTCTTCTTTGCCGTGAGACCAGAAAAACTGAATGGTGCCCAGCTACCATAACTGAACATTTTGGCCAAAGATTCTATAGAAGAATCCTGATCAAATGGGATAAAATGCGGAACATGATTTCAAATTCTCATGGATTCACACTTCCTGGAGCCATGATGAATGGCTGAACCTTTGAAACTATTGCCCTAAGATCATTTTTAAAATTTAAACTAAAGATATCCCCTGAAGTCTTCTTAAAACCATACTTCAGCTTAACTAGTAAAAAATGTGTGCTCTGAGCATTCTCTTTTCGGAACTGTCTATATGGGATCAAATTGACAACAGCAACTGGAAAGATTAGATAGAAACTTCAGGAGGCAGTGGATTTATATAAATGGAGGAAGAACAACTCAGAAAAGGAGGGTGAGGATGATTGCACACAGCTCAAAGGAGGTAACCAATATCACTGAATTGTACAATTTGTTGAACTGGTGTATATTTTCTTGTATATATTCTCAACAAAAAATAAAAAATTTTAAAAATATAACAACAAAAACAGAAAGATTGGAACAATTAGACTAACTAAAGCCACATATTCAAGGGGAGGTTGGGAAAAAAATGTTATGGGGGACAAGGACATGCAAGGGCCAATGTGTAAAATTCTCAGGGCTTACAGTCGTGTATTCTTTAACTGGCTAATGGATGGCTTAGGTAGATTACCTCAAATACAGTTAAATCTTTTAAGTATTTTATTAAGGACAGTGTACTCCATCAATCTGAGCTTTCTATCTGCTCTCTCTGTCCTATCTGTACTATCTTTCTGTTTTAGTTATCTATAATAGAAATCCAACAAGTGGGTGCCTTTAACAAACAGAAATGTGTTTTCTCACAGTTTAGGAGGCTAGAAGTCCGAATTCAGAGCACTGACTCTAGGGAAAGGCTTTCTGTCTCTATTTTCTCTGGGGCAGGTTCTTGTCTCTTTCTTCTTCTATTTCTTCACTCCTTGGTGATCTTTATGCAGCTTGGTGTTTATCTTCCCTCATCTTGGTTTACTTACTCATTGCTTAATCTGTTCTTTTATATCTCAAAAGAAATGGATTTAAGATATCTGCTACACTAATATTGCCTCATTAACATAACAAAGAAACTCCATTCCCAAATGGGATTATAACCACTGTAGGGGTTAGGATTTACAACACATATTTTTTGGGGGACAAAATTCAATCCATAACATCTTCCCAATACTCCTAGATAATGGCCTTCTCCACTGTTGTGCCCAATGCTATGCACTCTCCTTTGAGAATATCTTCTCTTCTCATTACTGCTCCTCTGTGAAGTTGGCTGATAATTACTCACCTCTGTCTCAATGCTCTTTTATAAATTAAAGAACTTATTTTCATCAGCTGTGACTTCACTCTCCTTTCAACCTCTCAAAAACTAACATTTGAGTCATCATCCTGAAAAACGGTCTTTTCAGTGGACTTAGGAATGGGCTGAGTAAAAGACAAGATAAACTAGAAAGCATATTAATTCTTTTCTCATGAGAGTTTCATAATATAGGTATTTTATCTTTAAGAATTTAATTCCAAATATACATGTTAAAATGTAGAAATAATCAACTTTTTCTAGTATTTTGCTGTATGAATAAACTCCATTGCTGTCTTCCATTGAATCTTCCCTTCCCTGTATGTATAAATAAACACAGAATAATAAACACATTAATGCTTGCCTTTGCCAAGATTTTGGAAGAACATATTTTCACAAATTTGTCATGGAAATAGTCTTCTAAATCACTGATATCTTGACTAAGAAAGTAAGATTTTTTTTTTTAACTACTTCTCAGAATTTTATTTGGTGAATATTGCTGCAAGTAAGCTAAAATGCTCTGCTTGTGACAAAATTTTTATAAATGATGTGAGCTTGAGATTGGCTTTTGTGGGAAGTGAAGTTGTTGATTTCTTAATTTGTCAGTAGTTTTTAGTGAGAACTTTTTATGCATTTACTTCTTCCTTTTCTGTCAAGAACAAGAAGGATTAAAATATAATTCCTGTTTTGAATAAATGTGCTGCTAGATATACCATAGTGCCTAAGGCACTTGACTGCTCACCAGAAGGCTGGCGGTTCAAACCCACCAGCCACTCCTCAGAAGGAATGTTGGGCAATCCTACTTCCATAGTGATACTGCCTCGGAAACCCAAGGAGGGGTCGCTATGAGTCGGGGCCGACTCGACGGCAAACAACAACAACACAACAAAATATACCTCTAGCAGTCAATGAAAGAATTAGAAAACAATACTAAATAATCAATAATAAAATGTTTAATTGGCTATAGATGCTATAAGAATTTTAAGAAAGAGATAAATGAAAGCTAAAATAGTCCAGGAAGACATACTAGAAGGGGTGTGTGGTAGCTAAAAACTATCCTTCCAAATATGTTCATATCCTAATCCCCAGAACCTGTATATTAGGTTACATGTCGAAGGGGAGTAAAATTAAGGCATTAAGGTTGCTAATCAACTGAGTTTAGAATAGCGATTACACCGCTTGGCCTGATGTAATCACACTGTTCTCAAAAGTAGGTGGCAGAGAAGAGAGTCAGAGGAATGGAATTGTGGAAGAAAGACAGAAAGATGCAACATTGCTTGCTTTAAAGAAAGAGGAAGGGTGCATGAGCCAAGAAATGTAACCAGCAGCTAAGGAGTAAAAAGGGCAAAGAAACGGCCTAGAGCTTTCAGAAAGGAATGTAACCCATCCAATCCCTTGACTCTGGCCCAATGAGACCCGTGTCAGACTTGTGTTTTATACAAACTGTGAAATAATGTATGTTCAAGTTTCTAAGTTTTCAGTAATTTGTTACAGCAGCAATAGAAAAGTGAAACAGTTTGCTACTTGGAGATGTACCTGCTCATAACTGGATAGTTCCAGAGAGGTATGGCTAGAATCTTTCACCAAAAACTATCAAATAATTGATTTTTTTTTTTGCATTTTTTTGGTGTTTTGCATTTTTAGGTGTACTGAATGTATTGAGTATCACTTATGCCAGGAATGTTTTGATAAATGTTGCCATCTTTCCCATATATTCACATTTCGTGAGGTACGATACCCACCTTAACTTTAATATAGTATTTGTATTTGTCCTGTTGTAAATCTAAGAATAATAAGAATAGATAGCATTCAGGAATAGAGCTAGTTGGTTTTTAATAAAAATCTAAGATATTTGTAGAGAACTCTTTTACAAAGGGACATACAAGACAACGAGTTCTTACACTGGTAAATTGTAAAATTAAATATATTGACAAACATCTGATGACATAACACATAAATCTTAAGTATAGATTATTAAGTATAGAATTATAGCCATCAAATTTGAAAATTAATTTAAAAAAAAAGATTTTACATTACAAATTGATTTACAATAGCATTACTGACAACCATGTAATTTTAAAATTTATTACATAAATAATAAAACAAAATTTTGTTGAGATTATTTGAACTGCATACTTAAATAATATCTCTTAGTGCTAATAATGCTGTCTTCCAATTACTACGTAAGATAAAATTAAACATTCACTGTTATTATTGTTGATAAATATTTTTACCTTAAAAAGTAATGTCATTATAGTAGTTATACTATAATATATTAGACACAGTAGTATTTCCTCCATTCTTTAATGTAGTACAAAATAATATGCATGTTTAAAAATGATGAGTCTGTATTAGTTGCATTGTTATTGATAATCACACTACTAATTTTAATTCATAAAATAATGTTCATGATTTGCAATGTAACATCTACTTTTTACCTATTATAGAGAAGAAACCAAAAGTGGAGACCCCTGGAAAAAAGATCAAATGAAATTATAAAATATACAGATATTAAAAATGAGATAGAAGAAAAGATTGCACATTTTCAAGAAAAGCAAAGGTAAGTTTCTAAGTGAAATTTATATTTATTCTATTGCTTGGGATCTATGAATAACACTTCAGTTTAAATAAATTTATTTATCTTCATTAAATGAATACTAATGAGCACCTATTAAATACTGCTATACATTATAATATGCAAGGTAAGCACATTATAATATGCAGGTTAAGAGCAAGTCAGACTCCATGAATCTAAGCCTAGCTCTACATGTTCATTGTGTGATTTGCTCAACTGCATGTTGGTTGTGTGATTTAGGGAAATTACTTCACTTCTCTCTGACTCATTTTCCCCTTTAAAATAGGGATAATTATGACCCATGCTTATAGAAATGTTGTGAGTATGAAATGAGTTATAACATCATTATTCTTAAGGAGCTCTGGTGGTATTGTGGTTAAAACAATTGACTGCAAATCAAACTGCTGGTGGTTCAAACCCATCAGCCACTTAGTGGGAGAAAGATGTGTCAGTTGGCCTCTGCAAAGATTCACAGCCTTGAAAACCCAATGAGGCTGTTCTATTCTGCCCTATAGGGTCACTATGAGTCAGAAATAACTCGATGGCAGTGGGATTTTGTTTTTTAATCTTTATTTTTAGGTCCTAATGTGATGCAAAGGAGCTCTGGTAGCATAGTGGCTAAAAGCACTTGACTGCTATCCAGAGGGCTGGCGGTTCAAACCCACCAGCCATTCCTCGGAAGGAAGGTTGGGCAATCCTACTTCCGTAGTGATACTGCCTCGGAAACCCAAGGAGGGGTCGCTATGAGTCGGGGCCGACTCGACGGCAAACAACAACAACATACTGAATTCAGAGAGCCCTGGGGGCGCTCAGCTACTCACCGAAAGGTTGGTGGTTTGAATCCACCCAGTGTTGGTACAGAGAAAACAACAGATGAAAACCCCATGGAGTGCACTTTGACTCTCGAAGCACATGGGTTCACCATGAGTTAGAATCTATTCAATGACAATGAGTTTATTTTCTTTTTTTAAGTTAGAGATGTAATAGTTTCCTCATTGATCAAATGATCATTCAAATAAATATGAAATTGAAACTGACATAAATTACATAAAAGATACAGGAGTTTTGCCTTTGAAGTATTTGTCTTCAGGGGAAAAGAAGTCTTTTCTACCTCATTCCTCTCTCTCCCTACACTTCTCCTCCATCAACAGGAAGGAATAGTGTTGAGTTGACTGGTTGTAATTCAGAACATCAGTTAAGCTGTTTACTAGTACCCAGGCCTTTAGACTTTTTATCATGTTCCTTATCAATTAAATAAAATCAAATATGCTATGCATTACTAGGGTATTAACATATTATGTACACTATAAAACATACACAAAATAAACAATTTTTAAAGGATGCAATAAAGTTGAAATAATTTGTAAAACATTTCAGTGGATTAGCCAAAAAAAAAAACGAGAGAGAGAGAGAGAGTAGTTATCACTAAAAATTATATTGTAAATTTCTATAAATATACTAATGAATATTTTAGCCCATACTCTGTGGGTGTTCCACATACTTTAGATATTTATTTGAATATGATAGCTCCTATGGGACATAAAAATAAGGTTTTCCCTGGCCAATTCTTTCAGAAGTGGACGGCCTCTTCCTTCTTCCTAGTCTGTCTCAGTCTATAAGCTGGGCTGTTACCTGTGCAC